TGTTTACACATTGTAACCAACAAGCATCTTCAAATGGTGTGCTACATTCACTGCTTTGTATTTGCACTAATTTGAGATTTTTTAAGATCAGCAGTAATCAGTTTGTTGTAATTCACTTCTTCATTTTGCTCAAGAATCTCGTTCAGGAATCTCCAAACACTTTTTGATGGCTTAGACACATGGCTTTTACTATTATACAGTTAAACTGTGGTTTCTAATCACATATTAACATGGCACATTAAGAAATGGCTGCATTTAGTACAAGTTGGGATTTAATAGTTATTAAAAATATATAAAAGCATTCGTTTTCCAGCACATTTCATACAAACTAAACAATCAAAAATCCAATACATTAATTAGAATACAATCCATCATCAAACGTACAACTTCAGTGAAGTTCTTCAAATACAACTTCATCTCTGTTGCTGAATTTTCTTTAAAGTTGTCTCTAATTTCTATCAGACAGGACAGACCATTATCAACTGTTTCTTTTTATTCCACTGGTTTGCTTTCGTTTCTTTCTATTAAGTACAGCTTGTTTCCTTCATGACGTACTGTATACATCACCACATGCAGAACTTTATTTTTCTAGCTTTTTGTTTCTTAGGCTTCCTTAATTGTGCTTTTGGTTGTCCTCCTGCCATATAAAATGGTTTGTCATAACCATTAGCAGCAAACTGTTGACTTTGTTTTCCAACCTGAAATGGTGGAGTAATTTCTCTCCGTGACTGTTCTTTTCTCATCTCATGGCAGTTCACTTTTTCCTTCTCAACTTTTGCTTTCGCCTTTCCATTTTCTAGAATCTTTCTGGGGCCCCAGACAAAGTCTTCTTTGGGTCTGAAGTTCTCATATGCATAAACGACCAGCTTTTTTCTCTCTGACTTATTCAACACAGCAAAAATAAAGTAATCTAGCACACTCTGTTTCACACGGTGAAGTTGATTATTTCGAAGAGTCTCAGTAAGGAAGAACTTGACCAGCGGCGCCTGGTAGTGCTCCAGTCCCAGAGTCCCCAGACACTTCAGAATGCGTGTGATGCGCAGGTTGTTGTGTGTATTTCTGTTGAAACAGAGATCTTACGTGACTTTCAGAATTCCACCAATGGCGTCAAGGTGACGAAATGTACCTGTTTAAGTTGTCAAAGCGCTCCTTCCATCTAGAAGAGCGTTCCACCTCTCCAGTGTCTTTATTCCTCAAGCGGATGCCATAGAAATCCAGCATTACTTCATAGGATTTCACCAACTTTCTCTTGGCTTCTTTATCTTCACGAAAAAGCTGCCAAAATAATTTCAAAGATGGACACCAATATTTTAGCTTACTCATCTCTACACTAAAGCTACACTCTAGAAAAAGTTCCAGTTCCTCACCAGTTCACCAGTTCCTCGCTGGTTCTATATATTTTTGAAGGTGCTATATGGCACTTTTTCACTTAAAAGAACACCTTAAGTTCTTTTTGGTTCTTCACTGGTTCTTTGTGGTTTTTGAGGTACTGTTATTAGGTTCCTAATATCACTTTTGAGCTATTTTAATTGTTAGAACTAAATAGCACCTTTGAAGATAAGTGTAAATGGCACCAAAAAGGTTCCCCAATGATTACAGGACAAAGAACCAAACTTGTTTCTATATACATACTACATTCTATATACAACTTTTATATATACATTGACTTCAAAAACTGTGGTGGCCCATTGTGGCCTTCCAGTTAGAAGGCTGCCAGATCGAGGCTCGCCGATGACCTTCCTGGAAGAGTTTGCATGTTCTCCCGGTGCTTGCGTGGGTCTCCTCCGGGTACTTCGGTTTCCCCACAATGCCGAAAGCATGCTTCAGGTTGAATGAATGATTTCTAAACTGAAGGCATGTACATCGAGTAAGATGCCAATGTGAAGACCAAAACCAAAATGCCAGCCATAAAACTGTCAAATGACTCAAAGGGCTGCAGATATTGGAAGTACATTTTCAAACTATAAAAGTTATTGTCTTTCTTGATTATGTTGACAACAACATCTTCATCATTGGAGCAGCATTAACTCAAACTAATCCATTGAGACTGGTTTCAAGAAACAAATAAAAAAAGGCGATTTCATGTCATGAAGCAACTGAAATTACCCGCCCAAACCAGCTAGGTACCTTTCTAGCACATCACGTGCCAGCCGTGTGCTTAATTTCAGCTTCGGTGGGCAGGACCAGAAAAATCATAATCCACAGATTACTTGAAAAGATGAATTAATTAATTTTTCACAATATCTGCCTCTGTTTGAAGGCAAAAACGAGACATGAATTAGCTTTAGCTTCGTGCTGAAACTTGCCTTTTGTTTCCGCTTTGAAAAAGGATGAGTTTTTAGCAGCACAATAGCAACGGTTTTATTACATATTTATAGCAATTCTATCAGCACCTTCATCGCTTCATGTTGGAAAATTAAATCTGCTCCCGAACAATTCTTCAATAATCAATAGGTACTATAATAATTGAATGACAGTTTGTGGGCATCCTCGCTCAGTGGGCAAATTTTTCCATGAGACAAAATAGGCCAATAAATTAAGACTGTTGTGGTGCGGAGACATGCAAAGCTAAATACTGGGTGAAGCAATATATTAGCCAAAGAATCTTGATCATAAAGAAAGAATAAAGTATCCCAATTGTATGTGGCGATTGAGTAGAAATGACATCAAGGTTTATGTTATGAACTGACCTTTATTTCGATTTTTGTGAGCACGTGTGCCTTGCTGTTCACTCCTTGCTCCTGTAAAGGAAAAACCCTAAAAAAGTTGGGAAAGGTTAATTTATGCTCTGCCTCATAAACCTCACAGTTTGTTTTTAACTTGAGCTCATGGATGAATTTTAAAAGGATCAAACCATTGAATGTAGGAATGAACTCTTTCCAGCCGATTATAGTGTCCTCGCCAATGCTTGTGAAACTGATCAATGCAAATATCTAAAAAAAAGGTGCTTTAGATAAAAGTGTTTTTTTGTGATTGAATATAATATGAAGAACAGAGTTCCATACTGTCTGGGGATGATCTGATTCTCCCTTTGTAAAAGTCCAGATTATAGAAGTGGCTCTTAAAGAAATCACAAACAGAATAAAATTAATGTTATTTAATAAAATAACTAATTATATAATTAAGATTAATTATTATCTATCATATAAAATGATTGCATTTTGGTGTATGAAGTGATAGGAAAAAATACTTACTTGAGCAGCTTTACCATCATCACGATCAAGGAACTGGAGTTAAATCAGAACCAGATATTTCATGTGAGAAAATGTTGGAAATACACTTAATTATTCAGTATTTAAATATTGACCATTTTTGTTTACACCCACTGTTCTAAATCAGGTCACTTCTTTTAATGTTTAGTTCTTCCAGAATCAGCTGATCTTCCAGAATTGTATGTGCTCTATTGTACTCAATCTCTTCTTTAAGTGGATTTAGTTGTTCCAGAGAACATTTTACCATTGTGAATAAAACTATTTCTGCTTAAAGTATTAAAAAATCATATACACCAGAAACAACTTGACTAAACTAGAAGTTGGTTTAGCAAGAATGATGCTTTAAAACAATAGTTTAGTCTGATCAGTTTTGACATCTTTCAGTGATGGAATATTTAGAATTTTATTTTCTGGTTAATTTCTGAGATAGAACAGGACATGTGTGATTCATGTATAATGTTTAAGCCAAATACAGCCAAATCTTCTGTTAAATTTTCTCAAACCTTGCTTTTAGGGTCTTCTTACGTATTAATAAAACTCAACATATTAGTAATATTGTAGAACAGAACTAACCCATGTGTCACCCATGTAGATTTTAGGAATGACCCTTCCTTAGACCCTGACCATATCTTAGAACTGCAATTCAACATTTTCTAATTGTCTAAATGTAGATCCCATATATTCCATAAATAAACTTACTCTACACTTATGTCGAAAGTCTTGCATGTCCTTGGCAGTAAGTAAGTTTCGTCCATTCCATCGGTAAGTCTGTTTTCACAGAGGGGAAAAAAAAATCACACATAAATCAGTTTTTATATAATATTGTAACCAACGTAATAAACATTTTATCTTGCAGCTTTTAGGTGACTCAGGCTCATATTTATTTTGGCCTCTTTTGAATGTGTATTTGTGTATTTCTTTCAGCAGCATCACACATCCTCATTTTCTCACACAGTGAACACTTATCAGTGCCACTTCCTCTCATAGGAATAAACACGAAAAATGTAACATGGCCAAAATCTAACTTCCATTTCAACCCTTAGACCCACCCCTTTGTTTTGTGTATTCATGTGAAGTAAATGGGTGTCCCAAATATTTTTAAAATAAACGTGAACAGTTACAATGAACATTACAATGTGATATTTCTGACATTTATACAATGGACTGGCGACTTGTACAGAAAGTAACCCTGTCTCTCGCCTGAAGAGAGCTGGAGCGAGGCACCAGCAGACCCCTGTGAACTGTAATGGGAAAATGAACTTCCACAAAATTTCTTTACTCTTCATGTATACACTTTCATTTTCATTTTGTAAGCCTGTTCATATTTTTCTTAATCATATCTCAATGTCACTCAGCCCAAATCTTAACATCTTGTACTGTGCCTTGAAGAGCTATCTTTCGGTACTCCATGATCTAAATATATGAATATCTCTATATCCAAAAGTGCCATGCCAAGTGTCAGCATAGAAGCCAACTCTGACTTCCAACATCCTATATATGTAAAAATCTAATCATAAGGACATGTATGACGCACAGTAGGGTGGTCTTCACGTTACAAAACGAGAGCTCCAGAAATTTGTTCACATTCAGAAAGTTGTTCTCTGTACTTGTGGTCTTCTGACTGAAAATCATCAATAAAGAAGCTTCTTTTGTACTTCTTGGTTTTCCGTGCTGTTTGTTCCTGACGTCTCTCTCTCAGCAAGGTAAAGGCTCATTTCCACCACAGAATCCTGAAGGGAACCTTCATCCAAAACAACTTAAATTGCGCGAATTAACACATTTTTTGTCAGTTCCCTCTGGGATTTGAGCACACAACCTTTGCATTGTTAGCACAAAGCTCTACCAACTGAACCACGGAAAAGCTAACTGCATTTAGAAAACAAAACAAAACTTTTTACAGATTTACAACTTGACTTATATTTCAGACTAAACAAAGTTTCAAAAACAAGATTTACAGATATTACCACAGATTTTTGAATTCGTTCAGAAAAAACACAAATCTATACACACTTACAAATATTTGTTACAAAAACAACCCCATATAAATTGCACCTATAACGTGGTCTCATATACTGAGTTAAAGTGGTCGCTAATCCGTCATTTATACAGCAGAGCCATCGAACATTTGTTACAGGGAATGGTATAACGTTAACACCACACTAGAAACCACGCGTATAAGATTAGTAGCTTACCTTTCTTTTCCTGGTTTCTTTGTTTTCCAGTTCGTCCTCCCACGTAGAATCGAACTCACACCCATCGTCTGACTCCATGTGAAGAATCTTTCAACTTGTTTCAAACAAAGGAATTATTGTTAAGGAACACTTTTTAACACCAACTAGAGCCTCAACTAAATATTCGTCATGTCTGAGCGATGTCAGGTGAAAAAAGTTTGAGTCGTGGCAAACGAAAGTATTTCCAGACAAAGGTCCAAAGGTTGCCAGGTATTGGATGATTCTTTTTTTCACTTGTGACTAGCCTAATGGCGTTTAAATATAGAAAACAAGTATAACTAAAGAAAATAGGAACTAGGGTTATATAGGAAACAAGTATAACAATGATTTATGTAAGTAAATGTACATTCAGAGAACTAAATCGGTGGTTAAATGAAAGTTCAAAGTGTGTGAATGTGAAGGATGAGGAATGATAAGGAACAATCACAATCAGATCCTGTCAGATCCTTCCGTGTTTGGAAGATGGCAAAAATTCAGTCGTCAAACACTTGAGTGCTTAATTGGTTACTACAGTGATTTTTGCTTATTTCACTTAATTAAAGTAGTTTATTTCTTCTTCCAAATATAAAATATCACATCACTCAGACAAGAAGGCAGACATTAGATTTATATAATATAACTATAAAATATCACATTTTAATGAAACAACAAGGATATGTACTCAGAAATATTTTATGGAATATTTGTCTGACCTGGCCTGGGATCAACTGGCACTGCGATTGAGACTTCATTGATGGTTTACTACATATATTTTGAAAGGTTTTCGTTTTGTACCTGCGTATAACTTTTGCACAGTACTGCATTCATGTGTGTATGTTCATGTGTATGTGTATGCCTGATAAACCTGATTAATTTAAGTAATTCATTAAAAAAATGAAAATCATATAATAGTAATTCCACACAGATTGATACAATTCAAGAGTTTGTTAATTTTTGAAAGTTTGATTATTTAAGTTTGACGAAACTAGTGAAAATGAGTACAAGCAATAGGGATAGTAACATCCTGGAGAGGATTGTGAAAGAAAACCAATAAAGAGATCTACCAAAAGTGGACTGCAGCTAGAGTCAGTGCATCAAAAAAACACACACATAAAATTATGCAAGACATATGTTTCTGATGTCGCATTTCTTGCTTAAAACCACTCTTGAACAAAAGGCAGCCTCTGACACATCCCGCCTGTGCTAAAGACAAAAAGGACCGAAATGCTGTTGAGTTTTCCAAAGATATGTTCAGTGATTAAGATAAGATAATTCTTTATTAATCCCGAAGGAAATTATTTTTCCAGTGACTACTTGTATAAAAAATATAAATATACAAATTCAAGAAGAAATTTAGAAAATAAAAATAAATACAATGATCTATAAAACTAGGATAAGGACAGACATACAATAGAGTAAATAAAAATATATAGAGAACTAGCAACTATCAACTTTACAGAAAGGTGTTGAATTATTTATATTGCACATATAGTTATTGCACATGTATGTTATTGCACGGTTTATGAATTGCAGGACATGATAAGGCTTGGTTCATTAAAGTAAATTTTGCATTTCCTTTCAATCAAATCAAGGTCACAGAGTCTGGAGGAAGAGAGGAGAGGCACAGAGTCCATTTTGCTTGAGGTTCCATAGATAGTGATGGTTTGTAGTGCCATTTCTTTTGCTGGTGTTGATCCACTGTGTCAACACAGCTGTCTACCAGAACGTCTTATATTACTTCTTGTTTTCTACTGCTGACCAACTGTAGGGAGATACATATTTCATTTTTCAAAGGATTGGAAAATACAGTGCATACAGTGGCATAGCTACCAGTACATAGTTCAGGGGCCATTACATCCATATTCTTAATTGGCCAACAAACTCCTAGAGAAAATGTATGGGGGATTGTTAAGAGGGAATAGCTGACGGCCACTGCCAGACCAACTTGGGCTCTACACCTGAACTGTGCCATAGACTGATCCACTTTATGCCATGCTGTATTGCAGAAATAATTCAAGCAAAAGGACCACGGTTAAGTACTGGGTGCTGTACAGCACATACTCATGCTTTTCAGATATTAACAAAAAAAAAAAAAAATTCAGTTTTCAAAATTAATGGAATGAACACTTAAAATATTCAAAATGAACGTATACAAGTTTTACTTTTTGAATGTCTCCGACGAAAATGATCTGGTCATTTTCGCTTTTGCAATTTTAATGTTTTCCTGCATGGATAGGTAGAATAAATCAAATACCGTATCAATTAGATGGCACCCATTTAAGTGTGCTACTACAAAAGAGCTTGAACAGCATATTCATTTGTAAAAAATGTTTATTTAAACAAATAATCAAAATCAGTCAGCATGGCAGTGAGTTATTTAATGGAGTTCTCTAAAACACACCAAATCATATAGAGCTTGGTTCATTATAGTTTCACCCGCTTCATAATAACAAGTTGAATGTGTGAAAAACATGCAATTCAAAGGCCAAAGCCACGATCTTCCCACTGTCTCTCATATCTTTTCCTTTATAGATTACTTTTATTCTCTTGACCAAAGAGCTTGTTTCCTTGAGTCTTACCAATATCATAAGCACGTGTGTCTTGTTTTTCTGAGTTTACTGATCTAGAGCTCAATTGGCTGCTCTTTGATTCTGACTCCTGACCTGCATTTTCTGGTCTATCATCAACTTCCATACCTACTGACTGATCTGCAGTAGTTTCCTTACTTCCATCCTGTGTGTTTTCACCAGAAACAACATATACATCTAAACTACCTTCAGAAGTTTTGGCACTTCTATCAAAATTGTCTTCATCAGAAACATCCATACTAACTTGTGCATCATTTTCCTCAGCTTTCTTACTTCCATCTAGAGTTCTTTGACTCAAAGCATTCATCCCAACTGATGCCTCTTTACTTCCGTCTAGAGTTCTTTGACTCAAAGCATTCATCCCAACTGATGCCTCTTTACTTCCATCTAGAGTTTTTTGACTCAAAGCATTCATCCCAATTGATGCCTCTTTACTTCCGTCTAGAGTTCTTTGACTCAAAGCATTCATCCCAACTGATGCCTCTTTACTTCCATCTAGAGTTCTTTGACTCAAAGCATTCATCCCAACTGATGCCTCTTTACTTCCATCTAGAGTTCTTTGACTCAAAGCATTCATCCCAACTGATGCCTCTTTACTTCCGTCTAGAGTTCTTTGACTCAAAGCATTCATCCCAACTGATGCCTCTTTAGCGGTTTCTTTACTTTCATCTAGAATTTCCACACCAGAATCAGTTGTAGAATATTGTTGAGATGAGACATTGTCATTGTCTTCATCTGAGCTGTACTGACTGTTCGTGCAGCTCTTGCCCTCATTTCTTTTAAAAAACTGTTCCTTGTTCCTGCTATCCTTTTCACAGGCTTCCTCTCTTTTCATCCTTTCAGAACTGGTCTGTGTTTTCCTGACTTCATCTCTTGTATTAGAAAGCTTTTTTTGGAGAATTGTCCTTGGGCCCCAGACAAAGTCTTCTTTGGGTCTGAAGTTCTCATATGCATAAACAACCAGCTTTTTTCTCTCTGACTTATTCAACACAGCAAAAATAAAGTAATCTAGCACACTCTGTTTCACACGGTGAAGTTGATTATTTCGAAGAGTCTCAGTAAGGAAGAACTTGACCAGCGGCGCCTGGTAGTGCTCCAGTCCCAGAGTCCCCAGACACTTCAGAATGCGTGTGATGCGCAGGTTGTTGTGTGTATTTCTGTTGAAACAGAGATCTTACGTGACTTTCAGAATTCCACCAATGGCGTCAAGGTGATGAAATGTACCTGTTTAAGTTGTCAAAGCGCTCCTTCCATCTAGAAGAGCGTTCCACCTCTCCAGTGTCTTTATTCCTCAAGCGGATGCCATAGAAATCCAGCATTACTTCATAGGATTTCACCAACTTTCTCTTGGCTTCTTTATCTTCACGAAAAAGCTGCCAAAATAATTTCAAAGATTGCTTTAAGACGGACACCAATATTTTAGCAAATCCTGCTCAAATACTTTGCAGTAGAACTGACCTGAATTTCTTTTTTTGTGAGCACTTCAGCCTCCCAGTTCATTCCCCTCTCTTGTAATGGGAACATCCTTTAAAATTTTAACAAGGTTAATTAAGTAAAGATCATGAACCTAAAACTAAGGATCTGAGAGTAGCGGGATCATACCATTGAATGTACGAATGAGTCATTTCCAGCCAATCATATCGACCCATGAAATCTGCAAACTGATCGATTTGAATGTCTACAAACAAGAACAACGTTTTAAAGTGTAGAGTCTTCTATGGCTGGCTTGAACTTGACAAATGAGAAGTATGAGAAAATTTACTATCAGGTGAAGATTTTAACTGTCCCTTGTAGAACTTCAGGTTAATGAGAGATCCCTTTAAAACAATAATTTAACATGGCATTATGGTCCAAAAAATAGCAATGTTAAATTATATTTTAAGACAACTTCAGAAGATTAGTTTCTTACTTTTTCATAACTGCAGTCACCATTACCATCTCGATCCAAGTTCTTGAGACATAAACAAATGAAATAATAATAATAAAAAAAGATGAGTTCATGGGACATTTTAAAGAATGCGTTTCAGTTTAAGTGGCAAGTGGTTTACTTGTGCTAGACCAAA